TAAGATTAGAGCAGATTGCTGGAGATAGTTTGAGGCCAAGAAGAGCAATTCAGAGGCTGAGAGAAAAGTCAGATTGAATAAATAAGCTGGGAGAAGGGTTTGAGCTGAGTTGAACCAGCCAGCCCGGAGCTCAATAAAAACAAGGAGTGAGATAATTAAGCAGTAAGTCTCAGAGGCTGAAAATGTTCTAGGCCTAGGTTAGAAGACAGAGGCCATAAGCCTCTGAGACAACTGAAACAGGCGAATAAAAGTTCTTTTTACAGATAAGCAAGGAAAAGGGGTTTGAATGATCTATGGAGTGATGTATTGAATATCAGCACAAACTCATGAGGCATAAATATAGATATTATATGTAGAAACATTCACACTTACAGGGAAGTGCATGGGTTAATTGGACACATATAGTTCCTTGTTATATCCAAGTGAGAAGATGTAGAAGCAGTTTAAGTCCAATAGCAATGAGCAAATCCAGTGGCCAGGTCTTGGTTTCTAATACCATTCTTCACTCAGTGAAACCAGGCTATTTTGGAGAATTGGCTAATTCTAGGACTGGAGAAGGAAATAGACAATATGAACTTTTGAATGTATTGTAGTGCCAGAAAGCAAAGAAGTGCTTAAAAACAAAAACCTCCAACTATGAAGGTATGTCAAAAGGACACAGGAGACCACAGAAAAAGCCCTTAGTGATTACAATGGGAACAACTGCAGCAACAAAATAAAGAAGTATTCATATCTGCTAATCCAAACTTGGATAAGTGGATGACTAAATAACTTAAGTCATTGGACATATTTCAGGAGGTATTTCTACAGAAGAAATCAGTTATAGGAGCACTTTATTCTCAACATAGGATAGCATAAGTTCTCACTCTATAGGTGTGGGCTGTATGGACTTCTAATAAGTACTGCATAGGGAGGAAAAAAAAAAAGTAGCTTTACAGCTCAGACTCCTGACAAGTCTTACCTTTGAAATGTGAATGATTGGTGAGTGGATACGGGGCCTTGGTGCGCTATGATGAGGAGGACAGTTTATCATGGCTGTCTTTCTCTCCCCACCCTATCCCCCAATATATAACCACAGTCTAATAACATCAGACAAATCCCAGCGGCCAAACATCCAATAAAGGTTATGAAGTTGTCACAGCCAAGAGAAGCCAGAACATGATATATGAATCTAAGGTGGTACTATGGATAGATTCTTGAAATACGAAAAAGATACTAGGCAAACACAAGAAATCTAAATAAAGTATGGACTTCAGTTAATATCTTACACCTAATATTGGTTCACTGCTTATACCAAATGTCTTCAGTTAGCATGTTAGGAACAAAATAAATCAATTATAGGATACATGAGAACTCGTTGTACCCTATAATTACTTATCTTCCCCTGTTTTCTAAAAGTGTGCAAATGTTCTAAGAAGCAGTCTACCTTCCAACACATGCCAGGAAAGCTAATTCACCTAAAGTCAGTCTAAAGAACTGGATGGAAGAATTTTCTACTGGCTTTTCTGATTCAGAAAAGCATATCTGCTTTTTATTTTTTTAATAACCTTTCTGATTCTTCCTTTGGGATTGGCCAAAGCCTGGGCACACTTTCTAGACACTCTGGGATTCCTCACTATTTCTCCATGAAGCCTCCTCTCCTGTCTTGCAGCAGTTGTCCATGTGGCTGCTGGCTGACCATTACTGAACAGGCCTGCTTTCTTAAAAGACTATTTCTCTTCTTCTCTGTATTCCTCTTCTTTGCAGCTTGTCTGCCATTCTGTCTTTCACTTAAATGCCAATAAAGGTGTCAAGTTTCAAAAAAAATTCGAAGAACCAATTTTATTTAGAAAATAATAGTTTTCAAAAGGACACAGTAAAAGGGATACCAATCAGTGCTAATTTGTGAACCTTGGAGAAGCTACTATAAAAGCTATTTGAGAGAAGTGTGAAGAAATTTAAATATAAAATGGTTTATTCTTGCACAGTTGTGAGAGTGGCATTGTAATCACATAGGAGAATGTTGTCTCTCTTGTAAGGACAGGCACACTGGCATATTTAGGAATGTCATGAAGTGTGGTGATAAATGTCTATCACTTGGCTGAAACGATTAAGGAAGCAGAGAAAAAGCACACTGGGAGAAATAAACAACAGTGGCAAGCATGTTAGGAATAAGAATCTAAATGAATGGAGAACCTCAAGGCTCATTAAACTATTCTTTCATGTTTCACTAGCTTGCAAATTCCAAAATTAAAATATCAGGAAAAAAATCAGTATGGTTTTAGATATGAAGAAAATGGTAACTAGAGGTTATCTAGAAACAACAAACATGTAAGAATTAGGACTAGTGAGGTTTGGACTAGAGATGCGAAGTATGAGAATATAGGGCTAGAGACAGACCAGTGAGGTAGAGTACTCATCAATCATCCTCAAAGAAGTGGGCTCCCTTCTGCTTAATAGACTGCAGAGTCCAGGACCACATCTGTAGACATTCAATGTACACAGATGGCTATTCCAATCATTGTGGGAGAAAATCATAAATGGATATGGGATAACCAGTTAGCTACTTGGATGAAAAGTATTCCTACTACCTAAACAAATTCTAAATGAACAAAAGATGTAAAGGATAAATGCAAATAAACAAAACCCCTTGAGTCAGTTCCAGTGGTACACACCTGTAACCGCAGCCTTTTGGAAGCTGAGGCAGGATTGTGGTTAGTTCCAGGCCAGCCTGGGCTATATACTACGTATAGGTCAGCCACTACTACATAGAAAGATATTGTCTCAAAAACAAACAGACAAACCCCCCAAAACTAAAACCGAAAAAACAAAGGACCCTTAAAAATACTAGAGAAGTATATTCAATTCATTCTTAAATATGAAAGCTTTTCTAAGCAAAACAAATTCCCAGTAGCCACAAATATGCATAACTTTACAGAAATAACTCAGGAAAATGTGAATTACTAAATAACCAATTTTCCTAACTTACAAAAAGCTCAGTTGAACACAGATCATGACCATACAGTTCACTGAAAATATAAATAACCAAGAGATAACAGTGCTCCATCTGCTCCATTAAAATGATTAACCCTTCATTAAAATGTAAGATTCCAATACTTTGCTTTCAGATGATCAAACTGAAAACACTTCATATCCATCTTGGCATGGATCTGGTAAACAACCCCTCTTATATTTTGCATGTGGAAGTATACTGGGCAGAGATGTCTGAAGGTCAATTTGGCGGTAGCTACTCAACTGAAAATGAATCACACCCTTTGATTCAGGAATTCTATGCTAGCAATTAACCCTGTGGGCATAATCTCATTAAATGCATGAGTATATTCACTCCAATGTGGCTTAGCAAAATAGTGGAAACAATCTAAAAATTCACCCATGTTTTCTATATCAGTTGTTAAAAATGATATATTTCTGAATATGTTGATATGGAAAGATCTTATAAAAACACAAGGAACAAAAAGAACAACATACAAAGGCATAAGCTGATTCCATTAATGTAAAATAATGAAGTATACACTGGGTGTCTATTAAAGCTGGTTACCTCCAGAAACATACCTATGAGAGAGAAAAAGAGACCAAAAGCATACTCTTCCCAAAACACAGGAGAAAAGTCTATTTACAAACTATACAATGAACAAACACCTATCACATAAAACAACATATTAAATGTGGCATATGTATTTCTCTAGCTATTCTGAGAATATTCCTTTTATTTAACAAAATAAAAGGTTTTTCTTTTTTTTTTTATCATTCTAAAGCTGGCCTCTTTGACCAGGAACTAATCTTTTTAATTTAAAAATTATTTTCATACAATATATTTTGATCATGTTTCTAAATTTTATGACTTTCTTCATTACCTGGTCCTTTATTCTATGTGCATATATCTTTCCTGTTCCTTCTTAGATAATGAACACTTTATGCGGTTATTTTGAAATATCATATATGGATTTTGATACTGTGTTTTCAAATTACTGTAAGTACCCGACAAGTTTTACATATGGGACTTGCCTTTAGAGTCTCATTAAACGTTTGATTCTGATGGGTTTTTTTTGTTTGTTTGTTTGTTTGTTTTTCAAGACAGGGTTTCTGTGCAGTCCTCAATGTCCTGAAACTTGCTATGTAGATCAGGCTGGCCTCAAACTCAAGAAAGCCACCTGCCTCTGCCTCTGAGTACTGGGATTAAAGGTGCGCAACACCATTGCCAGGCTAAACTTTTGATTTTTCCCTGATATTCCAATTGATTTGTTTGACAAGATCTTAGTACAGTCCTGGGTGGCTTAGAACTCACTTTGCAGCTGAGTCTTAAAGGTGTGTGCCGCTATACCCAGCTCAATCAGTTGTGTTTTTTTGACACTGTCATTTTGACTGTGTGCTTTATCTGCAATGCACTACATATTGCTGTTCAAGAACCAACTCTTGTGCCCTATAGGGCACTTGTTTATTTAGAAATGACCTTATACATTATGAGTGCAAAAACAAAAGTACATTAAGACATTACATAGACAGTGGGGTGTGGTGTTGCACACCTGTAACTTCAGGACTTAGGAGGCAGATGCAAGATAATTATCACCGACTCTACGCCCCACCTCAGTTGATCTTGGCCTTTGGCGATTGGGAATTCAAGTCTAGCTTTGATTATGTAGGGAATTTGAGGCCAATATGGGCTAAATGAGACGTTGTTTTAAATATGTATGTAAAACAAAACAAATAAAAAGAGGCCATGAAATCGAAAGGTGCCAAAGAAGGTACACAGAAGGAGTTGGAGAAAGTAAAGGAAAGGGAGAGATTATGTAATTGTATTCTCAAAAACTAAAAAAAAAAAATATTTAAGGAAGATTTTACATATAAAAGTAAAGTACACATTAAAAACAGCATCATGCTAGAAAAACATACAATACCATAAAGTGAGCTCATGGCTTTATTTTTTTGGGGGGGACAGAAACTTAAGAAATGAGATCAAAAGTTAAAAACAAACAACAACAACAAAAAACACTACCCCAAACAAGGTGAGACAATCACTTATTTATTGGACAAGGAAAGGTCATTTAGAGAGAGAAAATATATCTAAAAACGGGTTTATTGATGTTACAGGCATCAAGGCTCACAAACAACAGTAACTGATACATCGTGGAAACAGGTAAAGTCCAGCCAGGAAGATGCTGTTATATCATTCAACAGTATGCCACAAGTGCTTAGGAAGCAATTATTCGGTAGTTACTGTGCATACTTGCCATCAATTCATAATCTTTATTCCCTGTAGCTGAGGTATTAGCTCATAGGATTTGGCTAGTTCCCTGGTTATGAAGTGTGTTCCTGCATTCTGAAAAACTCTGAATGAGTGTATGTCTATTATTGAGTGTCACTGAGGTCATGTCAGCTATAGGCTTACCTAGCACTATACCATATCACAGTTTTTCAACTACCCTAGGCAGTAATGGACTATCACACAGTACTGTAAATAAAATTCTGTACTGTACTGAACACACTTAGCACTGCCACAATGCACCCAAATCTGATTTAGTCCTATAGTACCATAGTTCAAGAAGATAGCAGAAATTCGATGAAGTCAAATTAAAACAAAATGGGGTATTTATCTGGTCTGAGGTATACAAGCTGTCCACAAAGGTGGACATGTCTAAATTTACCATGTCAATTTTTTTGCTAAATTTTCAGCATTGTTTTTAGCATGATTTTATTGCCTGGGTAGGTAAGAATAAATTTTAATATCCATTGTGGAAACTAAATAGGCTGGGTGGTGGCAGGTGCATGCTTTTGAACACTCTGGAGGCAGAGGCAGGTGGATCTCTGAGTTTGAGGCTGGCCTGGTCTACAGAGTGAGTTCCAGGACAGCCAGGGCTACACAAAGAAACCCTGTCTCAAAAATCCAAAAAAAAAAAAAAAAAAAGAAAAGAAAAGAAAGAAGAACCTAGAATGAATGTTAGAAGCAGTAGTACAGAAAGGATGTTTGGCTAGGAGGAAAACTATTCTATATAATAAGATTAACCAGGAAATCTGTGAGGTATCTGGCTTTCCCTCTTTAAATCCATTGATTTACCAACTACTTTTTCTGTGATACTCTGGATGAACCTAGGACCTTGTGCATGCTAGGCAAGCATTCTAACAGATTTACAATTCCAGCTTCCCAATCATTTCCTTTCACTGTATTGGGTTCTGGGTTCTCAAGTTGAACATTCACTCCACATAGGAAACCACATTTAGGAGACTGGTTGCAGATGACTAAATATTGCATCAGTTCATTTATGGTAAATGATAAGATTATACATATAATAGACTATTGGTTTCCTAGGACTTAGGCGGGACACACTGGGAGGAAATTAGAGGTGACAACTAAAGAATACAGGATTTCGTTGAGGGTAGTGAAATGGCCTAGATTTATCAAGTGGTTACACAATTTTGTGAGTAAATAAAGTTATTTAATTATGCCCTTTTAAATTTGTATAACTTCTTTAATGGTAAGTCTCACTATGTATTTTAATCTGGCCTTGAACTTGTATGACAACTTTCCTGCCTTGACCTCCTGAGTGTTAGGGTTACAGACATGAGCCACAGCTGGCAACTATACCCTTTAAAGAATGAAATTAAAAAGAATGTAGATTAATTATCAGTAACGTTGCTAGGAAAACACATTAAGAGGAGAAAACAGCCCTCAAAGAGAAAAAAAAAAAAAAAAACAAGAGGCTCTTCAATCAAGTAATAGTTGTGAAGAATGGCAGAAAAGCTTCTGCATGCCATTTTCATTCCATTATATCACCTTAGTCCTTGGATTCAGGTTTTTAGGAGCCTGGAGTTAAGACAATGATTCACTAATATAGCTCAGATTTGCCATAAACTTGTGATCCTGTTTCAGCCTCCTAGGTGCTGGGATTACAAGCACATGCCACCACACCCATTTTTAGCCTATTTCTAAATTATTATAGGCAATCAGCTGATTTCTGAGTTTGTTCTCAGTAGAGAACAGAGTCAGTATTCCATAGATTTAGGTAGCAAAATAAAACTAAAAAATCACAATCCAACATCAAGGGCCCGGGATATAGCTCAGCTGGTACAGTGCTTGCCTAGCATGCATAAGGACTTGGGTCAAGTCCCCAGGACCTAGAAAACCAGATAGAATGGCAGCACCTATGACCTTAGCACTGAGGAGGTGGAGGCATAAGGATCATCCTTGGCTACATAAGTGAGTTTGAGGCTAGCTCAGGTTATATAAAATCCTGTTTACAAACAAACAACAAAAACAACAGAAACAAATAAATGACAAAATAATCTTGTCCTTTGAGGCTGTGCATCATCCTAATGAAAAAAAAAAAAAAAAAAAAAAACTCCAAGTAAAAGAGCATCCTGATATCAAGACCCTGCCTGAAACAAACAAAAAGCTTCAGGTGGGTTTCCTATCAAAATCTGCAGTAATTCCCTTTATACCTATATAATTTAACAAAAGTAATGTGTTCATGCTTGTGGAGAGCAATGATCTCTACAAAGTAATGTTGAGCTTCTTAGTTTTCTAGCTGAAAAAGCTACTCCAATTTTCCTAAGAGTAAAATTAGTGCCTGTGAAAAACATTCAATGCCATGTCCTTATCCTCACCTTCAGCACCATAGAGTGAAGATGGAAAACTCCAAGCCAGCTCTTGGTCAGAAGCTGCAAAACAACTTCTTAGATGACCTTAATTTTTCTAAGAGAATTTAAAGTGATTAACTCCAAATATTTAGAACATATTTGGCTCGATTTCTTTGCATGTGCCTTTAGATTAAATGAGACGTTTCCTTTCTTTTTTACTAATTCACTAGTTTAGTATGAAATAAACCAATAGACTTTGAATGAAACTGGCTAATGATGATCAGTTTTCCTCAATTGATACTATTCTACATAGGCAAGATAATGAAATTACAAATTGTCTTTTTGGTCTACTTTCAACTAGTCTTACATTATACACTCAATGAAATTTTTACAATAAAACAACATGAGTAATTTTACAGCATGATGAATTTGTTAAATACATATGTTATGATAGAATTTCAGACACAAAAATTGCTCACTGCACACAGAGTCTCAGAAGTGATGACACAAGACAGCTGATGTTAAAAGGTATCTGGGACTTGGGTCCAGAGAGAAACCATTGATAAAGTAAAAATTGGCAAGTATCTGTAAAAGTAGAGTCACTTTTTAGGGGACCCCCCCAAAAAAAAACTGTGAAGTCACCATTTTGGTCTTCTTAAAGAAGTTGGTCTGATAAGAACTGAAGACCATTTGAGTCCTGTGCTGCAAAATGCAGGTATTACATGATTTCCTAGGATTCCTAAAATCTGTAGTGCAAAAGAAAAAAATCTTTGAAAATAAATAATCATGAAAATCCTAACATTTTTTTCAGGGAAATGTGTTCGAAACAGTGACTTTTACAAAACATGAGAACTGTTTCAAATGAACAAAAACTTTATACGAAAGTTCAAAGACTCATTTCACAGATAACTTATACACCATTTAATTTGATCAACAATGTACAAACAAGGGCCATAGATTATTTTAACTAGCTCTGAAACAGCAATATAAATACTGATGTTGGGAGGAGTGTTTTACACCCCAAACTCCAATACTCAATTCTGTATCTGTCCTGTTATTTAATTTGTAAAAAGCTTAACGGCGCAGTGAGTCAAACTTTCTTAACTTCAACGATGTGTTAGAGGACAATGCATCGAGGTTTGAAGAATTTGTTGCATCCGAAGACCGGAACAGCACTCGGCCACGATGGTTAAACACATAAAAAGATGGGTGATTCCTTAAGGTATCAAATGTCCTTAAAAGAAAAAAAAAGCACCAATTTTCACATAAACCTTTATAAAGGCCCATTTGAAAAGTAAGTAGGCTTCTAATGAATTATGAATTTGCTGTAAATTACATTTTTAAAATAAGAATAAATCTGAGATTAGACTACAAATGATAATCACACTGTATTGCATATTTTTACTATACAGAAAATGTAAGAAACTTGGAAATAACAATAAAGTTGTCTGACTTTCTTTTCTTCAGCTATTCCTTCTGGGATGCCTATCAATAATAATGAATACTAGGTAAACTTCAATCACCTCTGTAAACCTAACAGTAGCTTATAATAAACCATCTTTCAAATGCCAGCAACATAACTGCACCTCTTAGGCCCTAAGCCATAGACATTTCAAGCCATAAGATATTTCACAGATCTGTTTTTCAAGTAAAATGAAATTTTCCTTTTGGCCCTCTGTATGTACCATTGGCCAAACTCAACTACCCACTACAAAAGGAGCCATTTGGTTTGGCTCCTTTCTTTCCTGGCTTCTTGCCTGAGAAATAATAATCTTAAGATACATAGAAATAATGAAGTAAATGGAGAAGGAGGAACTTCCTCCAGTATACAGATGCTTACTATGAATCCTTCTATGAAAATACTATAAAGCCTTACTTATTATTTCTAGATAAGGAAGGTAGGGAAAGTCCAGAAATGGAATTGAAGAAACTGAAGTAAAAATATGGGGCAGGAAAGCAAGCAAACAAACAAAAACAGGAGAAAAATGCTGAATAGCGATATTATTTAATCCAGATATAGAAATAGGACTGAGGGCAGAGCTTAAGTCAAGATTAGGTTCAAATGAGAGAGGAAACAGAAAAATCAGTTGTTTTTTCAAAGACTAAGCTGGAACAAGAGGATAAAAGCATAAGAAAGGAATGGGGGGAAGACAGGGAGGAAAGGAGTAGACAGGAAGGAAAAGCAGGCAAGGAACCTAGTTAATGTTTCTGAGCTATTATCTTTCAATACACCTATTCTCATCCACCTATAATCACATTCTAATAAATCATTACTTTTAGGCTACTAGCAGGAACTACAATCTAATACCTTGTTTTTACTCTTCTTATTGATCGATTGATTGAAGGGTCTTCCCAGAATGTCTTGGAATTCACAATACTTCAGCTTCTTGCCTCACTCCGTCTCCCTCTTTTCCCTCTCCCTCCCCTCTTTCTCTCTTAGTTTTTCTAGACAAGGTTTTTCTGTGTAGCCTTGGCTGTCCTGGACTCACTTTGTAGACCAGGCTCCTGGCATTGAACTCACCTGTCTCTGCCTCCCTGAGTGCTGGGATTACAGGCGTGTATCACTGCACCTGGCTTGCTTCTCACTTCTCAAGACTGCTGGGCTTACAGGCGTGTGCCATCATACCTGGCTTTCAACTTCTACTTGTCCTATGATACCAAACACTGACTTAATATTTTTGCCTCATTACCCCTATAAACTACATAACCAGAAGATAAAAATAAAACCGGATTTTATGTAGATGAAAGCACGCTATGACTCATGCGCAAAAAACAAATCTCTCTGAAGTTAAATGCTTCTGAAAAGGGACTTACTTATTCTTTAATTCTGAAGTGGCATCCATGTCTTTGAACTCCCCTGCGATATGAACTATGCCATAACAGGTGACTGCAAAGGCCAGAAGTGTCTGAAGAACTATCTGCGAGTATAAAGATGCAGATTAACAAATAGTATCTGAATACTATTTGAAAATTTGACCATCCACTTTTCCCCTCTGTGCAACTTCTACAAGCATTCCTCAGTACCACGCATCAAGGAGTCAAGTCTTACTTGAAATGATTTGTATTCAGATACAATAAAATCTCTTAAGTATAATAACATATCTGAGATTTGAGGAAATGACCTTAGCAACATGCTCAGAGAAGCTAAATCACCAAGTACTGAATGGCACTAAGCCTCTTAGAACTTAAGTACCAAACACTGTCTGTTTCCAAGAGCAATTAAAACTCATTTGTTATTTTGTTTCTGTTCAGTATCAGAGAGAGCACAAAGCATACAAGCACAATATAAAGAAAAGCAATAAAAAGGTATCACATACCCACCAACCAACTACACTTTAGTCCTTCTTCCTTTCTTTGAAACAGGGTCTCATTATACATTCCAAGTTGGAATTAAACTCATAATCCTCCTGCATCAGGCTTTCCAGATATATCCATTACAGGTACCAAACATGGCTTCCCAGAACCGTCCAAGTCCCTCTCACATTATTTCCTTTCCTTTCTTCTCAAAGTTAACTATTATACCAAATTGTGTATTAATCCATTCCTTGTTATTCTTGACAGTATTCCTTTTGTTTTTGAATAATCTATGACTCTCTAAAACACATTAGTGTTTACTTTTACTCGTTCTGAATCTCATTTAAATGCACTCAAATACATTCCTTTGAGTCGAGCTGTCTTCCCTCAACATTGTTTGTGAGATTTCATCTCCACAGCAGCAGTCTATTCCTTTTCATTGTGTTTACTACCCATCATATGAAACCGTAATTTATTTCATTATTGCTGGGAATGTGGGGTGTTTCCTGTTATTTTTACAAGGCCAACAAATATTTCTACATCTTTTCTGGTACACAGGAATGGAAACTCTGAGTACAGAATACATATGTGTCCATATGTATAATATAATACCAAACTGCTTTCCAAACAGGTTGTACAAGCAACAATGTTTTATGTTTGAAATTAACCAACACAGGATTTTGAGTCTATTTTCTTAATTATGATTATATGAATTTTTAAAAGTTTGCCCTTTGATAATCATGAGAAAATTCTTTTTGATATAAATGAGCGTATGTTTGTATATATCTACCAAAAAGAAAAGGTGAAAGGATGAGTTAACAGCCACATATATTGTAGCTTTATTTATAAACAGAGACAAAATTAGCCACAAGTTATTACTATCTAAATTAAAACCCAATGACATCTGAATTGTTACTTTACATTCCAACCACCAATATACTAAAGAGATTGTCTTGTTTTATTAAGACAGGGACCCAGTTCAATGTTCAATGAGGAAAACCTTGAGCTTCTGAGCCTCTTGTTTCTACATCCCAAGTGCTAGGTGTGTGCCACCATGCCCAAATTTTGGGTATAGAGAATCAAACACAGTGATCTATGTATGGTAGGCAAACACTCTACTGAGTTACATCCAAGGAGATTGTCTTTAAAAAAAAAAAAAACTTTTTGAGATTGTCTTTCATACAACACAGTTAGCAAGAATGCGGTGGATGAATGAATTGGCATGAAAATATACGTTCCAGAAAAAGTATATCCATGAAAAGCTAACTATAAAGTGAGGGTAGGGGCATATGCCTGTACTCTCAGCACTCAGGAGATGATGGCAACAGATCAAGCATTTCAAGGCCAGGCTTGGCTACCTATAATTTCAGTGCTAGCCACACAGACTGTCTCCACAAAACACAGCTAGCTAACTACAAGACTACATACAAGCTTAGGAATGGATAGAGAATTTGGGGGTTCTTCCCTGGTAAAGGCTATTTCTCTTACTCTCAGCATTTCTTAGTTGTCTGTGCTTCTTTGTCTAGGGCTAAGGCCCCATGGTCATCCCTGAAATCACACACACACACACTATGTGTGTGTGTGTGTGTGTGCATGTATGTAACAATAAGAAATACAGGCCATGAATTTGAGTAAGGGCAAGGGATGAGTGCATGGGAAGTGTTAGAGGGAAGAAAGGATGGGGAGATAATTATACTTTAATTTCAAAAACAATTTTTAAACTATACACACACATGCATAATGCTTTTTAAAACGATCCGGTTTTAACCTTAATTTTGTTGCTTCCTATTTATTTATAGATAGGGGAAGCATAGGTGCCACAGTATAAGGGTTCATTCAAGTCAGAGGCAACTTGCAGAAGTTGCTTCTCTCCTACCATGTGGGTTCCAGGGATCAAATTCAAATCATTAGGTTTGGCAGCAAGTGTCTTTACCCACTTAGACATCTTTACCACTGAAGCATCTTACCAGCTCAAAAGCTCTTTCAGTTAGGTAAAACATTTTAAAAAAGCGTAAAATCCTTAAAGTATTAGGGGAAAATGTAAAGTTTCCAGGGAATGAGATAAGTCCTGCTGCTGCTATTGTTTTAATTTTGAATGATTAATTTATATTTTCACACCTATTATTTAGTTCTGTTACAAAGAACTTACAATGTTTCTAAGTTTAAATCTAATAACAAAAATAAACTAAGTCAAATGGGAAATAGGTACTAATTCAAGTTAAAAACCACCTTCTTTAATATTTTTTTTTCTTTTTTGGTTTTTCGAGACAGGGTTTTTCTGGGAAGCCTTGGCTGTCCTGGAACCACTTTGTAGGCCAGGCTGACCTTGAACTCACAGAGATCTTCCTCTGCCTTAATTTTTATCTTTGATTCCTATCTGTAAATAATATAGAGTCAGCGTTGCTTGTTTTTAAACTTTATTTTTTTTTATGGTGGAAAAAGTATATTTTAGAATTAACCAGCTGGACTCAGTTTAGATGATCACAATCTTGTTAGCAACATCCAGAGCATCATAATCAGGAGCCAACTGAACATACACCTCTTCTTTCCCTCAGGCCTTATCAGTGTATTCACTTTGGCCACATAAATGTCATAGAGTTTCTTCATGGCCTGTTTGATCTGGTGCTTGTTAGCCTTGACATCCACAATGAACACAAGTGTGTTGTCCTCTATTTTCTTCATGGCTGACTCAGTGGTCAAGGGAAATTTGATGATAGCATAGTGGTCAAGCTTGTTTCTCCTGGGTGCACATTTTTGAGGGTATTTGGGCTGTCTCCGTAGATGCAGGGTCTTGGGCCTCTAGAAGGTTGGGTAATGTGTAGATCGTCTTCCTTTTGTGGCAATGGACAGCTTTCAACACTGGCTTCTTAGCTTCTTTGGCTTCGGCTTTTGGGAAGGGCAGGAGTAGCTTCCTTCTTCGCTTTTGGTGCCATCTTGGTGAAAAGGCTTAAACTTCATTTTTAAAAGGAAGTATTGGGCCAGTGGAATGACTGAGAGGGTGAGGACACTTGCCACCAAGCCTGATGACCTGAGATTTTTTTTTCCCTTGGGACCCACATGGTAGAAGAAGAGAACTCACTCCTGTTGACTGTCTTCTGACCTACACACTTGTGCTGTGACATGAACACCTATACACATAATAAGATATTTAAAAAGGAATTTTTATAAAAACTTGAGCCAAGTAACATTTTAAAAGACCATTTTCTACTGTCAATACAGAAACTTCTGAAATGGTACCCCCATTTCCTTCTTTAGTTTTTGCTTTTTTTGACAAAGGGTCGTACTCTGTAGTCCATGTTGACCTCAAACTCAAACACGTATGATTATACGTGTTGAGGCACCATGTCTGAACAAAAGGATCAAATAGAAATTTTTAACACTTCAAAATCTTTTTATTTTACAGAGTGATAAAAGCAAGTAACTGCTGGGTGAGGTAACACAGGCCTTTAATCCTAGCATTCAGGAAGCAGAGGCAGAAGCAGAAATAGGTAAATCTCTGTGAGTTTGAGGCTAGCCTGGTCTACATAACAAGTTCCAAGCTGGCCAGACCTACACAGTGAGACCCTAGTTTAAAAAAAAAAAAGAGGTAACAGATGCCTGAATATGATGCTTGAAAATGATAACAAAAGCAAAGTGGCTGATTTTAAATATGTATTTAGTGGAATATAAATTACCAACTTACATCTATTGGTAGTGATTCATCTTCCTTTTCTGTTAGTCGCATATAAGAACGATCTATAAACCAGAAGCATATCATTAGGAAATTGTAGCCCATTTTCCTTCCTCAAAATGCAAGAAAATCAATATACCAAAGAAGTGGCTAACTTATATGCTGCATAAATAATCCCAAATTCCCCCCAAACCCCTTCTACTGCAATAAACCTTATCTTTTTAAATTAGTTTATGCTTGTCATGGCCTGTTTTATCACCTTAAATGAGTCACAGGTAAGTATGAAACTGAAATAGCTAAGTCTAATTTTTCATTAGTATAGGAAAATGTAGAAATTCTGAAATTGTTTCTTTCACTAAGTCATTAAAGAAGTCATAATTATTTAACAATCAAGAGGAGTATAAAAATCTTCAATGTTGAATGGCCATGACACTGTGTAGTAAAGCCAAGGTGACACTTGTATGGAAATGTTTCACTTCAATATAGTGGACTAACTGGAGTTCCAGGACATTAATTTTTGTTCTTGCTACTACTTAATTCTGCTGCTGCCTTAACCTCAGGAGGCAGCAAGGGATTAAAGGATGGGAACAGGACTTACAAACTGGTAACCCTGAGTCATACATAGCACCAGCTCTTTTCTATTTACTATAATTTACAGTACCTCATTCAAGATATCCTTAGCAACCCCAACATGTATTTCAATTGTGGAATGTTAAAATGTGAAAGTGAGCAGGGTGTTTCTTAGATTCAAAGAGCTACAGAACCGTTGTACTGGCTGAGTTTCCTCTGTGGTAAAATGGGAATGTGAAATTTAAACAGGAATTGTTTAGTGCATGATCATTGCACTGCAAAATCAAAGGTCACTATGGCAGAGATGGGCATGCTACAACACCATAGGATGCTATCTGCTGCCACAGTTTCACATGACACAACTAGCATCAAAGGTAAATCCCAGTCTCTTTGCCAGTATGAGTAATTACAAACCCACAAGGCATTCTAATCACTTGAAAAAATATAAAAAGCCAAAATCTTAATTCTAGATTACGTAGGACAGTCTACTTCTAGATTAAACAGTCCAATTCCTACTTTATAACGTACTGTAGACTTAAAATACCCACATTGTTTTGTGTGAATGTTATGACTTTGATAAAATAGTGTATCTGCAGGCAGAGTGTATTTGAGTTTACAGAGCTTGTAAGTACAAAGGGTAAATGCAAAATGAATCCAGTATCAAAAGCAGTTTTGGATTAAACTTCTAATGTCCCACTTCTAGCTAGCTTTCTTGTTTGAATGAAGTCCAATTTGTCCCTTTAACACTATTTTCAGCTAGGCATTTCTTCATCGGTGAAATGAGCATGTTGTATTTCAAACAAGGGCCTTCCCTGCTCTACCACTGTGTAACAGAGCTAAAGCTTACTTCGAAAATAACACAGTACTTCAGTGTATCCTAATCTCCTCCAGGGCAGTGCTTCACAAACTAATGTGCATGGAAATCACCCAGGGATCTATTAAAACGAATATTCTGACTCAATAGGACTGAGGTGGAGCCTGAGTAGACACTAACAAGCTCCCAGGTGATGTCCATGATGCTGCTCTATTGAACACACTATGAGCAGCAAGGCTCTAAGGCATTTTCCCCGGGTCCCACCAAATTACCACTCCCCATGAGCATTTATACACACATACATACACATCTTTAGCATATTCAGAGTATTTTATCTTACTGTAATTGTTGGCCCACTAGTTTTTCTACTAGCCTAAGATTTCCCTTATGGCGTCATGGTACTTCTAGAACCTAAAAGCAGAAGCAACTTCAATCACTGATCTAAGGGGAAAAAAAAAAAATATATATATATATATATATATATATATATATATATATATATATATA